CCAAAAAACAGTTGGAAGGTTGTGTTTTAATCCCCGGCTTCTCCAGCCTGCATGTCAAAGTGACCTTGGGCAAGATAATGAACTCCGTGTTGCATTCATTGAAATCAGAGTTTAAGGAACAGAAATGCATCTGAATGTGTGTGCTTCAATGGGTGAATGAGGCTTGTACTAAAAAGCACTTTGAGTGCTCAGTTAGAGAAGCCTTCAGTTAATCCCAAATGCTGCAGCAAGAGTACTGACAGGGACTAGAAATAGAAAGCATATTTCTCCTATACTGGTTTCTCTTCATTGGCTCCCTGTTAAATCCAGAATTGAATTCAAAATCCTCACATACAAAGTCTTAAATAATCAGGCCCCATCATATTCTAATGACCTTATAGTACCATATCACCCCATTTGAGCACCTCGCTCTTGCACTGCAGGCTGGGAGGCAGAGCCTTCAGCTTTCAGGCTCCTCTTCTATGGAACCAGCTTCCTGTTTCGATTCAGGAGATGAACACCGTCTCTACTTTTAAGATTAAGCTTAAAACTTTCCTCTTTGCTAAAGCATATAGTTAGGACTGGATCAGGCGACCCAGAATCCTCCCTTAGTTATGCTGCAACAGGTGTAGGCTTCTGGTGGGTTCCCATGATATATTTAGTATTTCTTCTTCATGTGTTAATAGACCTCTCTGCTTTGAATCATACTTGCCTCTCTTCCACAACACGTCTTTATCCTGTTTTCCTTCTCTCACCCCAACCGGTCGCAGCAGATGGCCCCGCCCCTCCCTGAGCCTGGTTCTGCTGGAGCTTTCTTCCTGTTAAAAGGCAGTTTTTCCTTCCCACTGTCGCCAAAGTGCTTACTCATAGGGGGTGATATGATTTTGTTTTGTTTTTTCTGTATGTATTATTGTAGGGATACCTTACAATGTAAAGCACCTTGAGGCAACTGTTGTTGTGATTTGGTGCTGTATAAATAAAATTGAATTGAACTGAACTGAACTGAATTGAATTGAATTGAAGAAAAGTGCTACATGTATGCTGCTGACATATCTGAGCTACATTAAAATCTTTGTTGCTAGAAAGCTAAACAGGTTTGCTTGTAAGTTTTAAATGGCTTTCAATCTGTCTCACTATTCAGAAATATAGCTGCAAACGTTAATATTGATTGGGCTGTAGAAAATTATTTGTGCTTTAAGAGCTGATAACGTGACACCAGCCTCAGCCTAACTATAGCTCTGATTCAGGTTGTCATAAATACTTATAATAGCAGTTTAATCCTATTGATCCAGTCCCACCTCCCTCCCTATTGCACTATATTCATAATCCCCTGCAAACATAACTCTGGTCTTACTTTCACTGCACATGAAGCAGCTAACCTAACCTAACCTACCTCAAAAAAGAATAGAGGATCCTTTTGGGAACCCTATTCTCTTTATTTCAGTCAGTCCATTAATCAATAGATATCTAATCTGCCTTACGTCTGATCATTACATGCATTTTAGTGCAACCCACAGTATAGTGTTATTTAAAAATAACACTATACCGTGGGTTGCTTTGTCACTGTAATGTAAAATCATTAATGGCTGCAGGTTTCTTATATTTAACTTCACACAAACAGTTTAAATGGAAATGCAAAATTTAAGGTTACAATTAATTATGAGAATAATGGTTTTAGTGCATAAACTGAGAGCATTGTAAAAGATAAACTATACCATTTGTTCCAGTTGTATTTCAAGTATAGCCTCATATGTGTGGGCCTATTCCAAATGTCTTAGATTTTTTCTTCTCTAACTGCATAAAATATCTTGGCTCAGTAATAGAGTGAAAACTCTGAGTGATGCTGACAGTAAATTGGATTTTGTTCCATACTGCTGGACCCCACCGTATTCTTGCTCTTAGGTAAACAGTAATACATATTTCCTGTGTTTATTTCCTCAGACCTACAAGCCTGTGTTGATGGGCTTCAGGTAAATTCACCTGTCATAATAGTTCAATAGACCCTCCCATACTATGAGTCCATCAGATAAGTTTGCTGATCAGACACTGGCCTGCTTTCCCATTGGTTCCTGGGCTCTAATAGGATCCCAGGGACTCTACTGTGAGGATTACGGTTCCAAACTCTCGACTTTGGCCAGTTGTCTGTGTCCTCCAACCATGGGTACCGCGGTTTAGGGGGGCGCCGCATATGCACAGACCCGGAGGGGCGCCATCAAAAGACAACATCGCATCAAGGGGAAGAAATCACTGATTTCAGCTTGGAGGGGGGACTGCGGCGTTGTGACCACTTGCTTGAGGGAAACATCTGTAATATTTGTGAAAAGGATTATCATTTTTCCACCATACTTTAATAATAACCACTTTTCTCACATTTCTCATCCGCACGGATTTGGATTATTTAAGAAAAAACAACTTTTTGAGACATTTCGTCAACCCAGTGAAAGTTTTTGGATTATCTTCTAAGGTTGACTTTGTCCTCTACCATCTCAGGGATATACCTGCTTATCCCCTCCACCTGGAACAACTTAGATGAGCTCAACGCACTAATAACTAATCAAACGACCAGGCCTGGACTGACCACTGACCAATCCAACAACACTGAGTCCACCGTATTTTGAGCTCCATGGGTTTGTCTCCATAAATGCAGCTGGCCACCTCTGGATAGCATCAGTTTTGACCAGAATAGACTTGCTCTGCACCATCCAGCTCCCCCTCTCTTTCTTTTTTCTCTTTTCTCTGTGGTGGCCTGTGCATAATAGTGAGCCATGCTGCTGAAAATTACGTTCACCCAGCAGAGGCGAGTTCGTCTGGCCCAGGGCCTGTGGCTGATGTCCTGGCTGGCAGTGATGAGTGGGGCCTTCATCTTTTGTCTTGGTGTTTACCTTAAGACAGAGCTGCTTCGTAGGGCAGAGGTACAGAAAGCGATGCTTGCATGAATGCAAACACACACATGAAGCAATGCAAGCTAGAAGGCCAGGTGGAGCTAACGTCTAGTGCATGAATGTATTAAAGGTTGAACAAATATAGGATTGTATTCTCAGGCATCTGCCTTTGCTAAGTGTTGTTTACTGAGCCTGCTGTGTCACTTTTTTTTAAACTTAGCTTCAGCGTTTAATCGACAAATACAAACACACCGCACGCAAGTGTAAACATGCACATTCATGCATGTTAAGTCATGTAGGTGGAGTTGGCTGAAAAACGTCTTTGTAATGTCAGCACTTTTCCCATGAAAATCATGTGTGTGTGTGTGTTTGTTTGTGTGTGTGTGGATTGTGCATTTTGTTTAAGCACTGTAGCCATTTGTCTTAATGGATCAGTGATCAATTAGACAGGCTTAGTGAACTGATATTCACAGGAAAGCTGCAATGAGAGGAGGCCTTCACATATTTATTGATCTAAAGTGAGAAGTGCTCTTAGTTAATCTTAGGTAATCATTTTTCCCAAGGTGGTGGTGAATGGCTGGGAAAAAAAACAGAAGACATATTTGCTCTCTGACCAATGAAATGGAATCAAGAAGCTAAGGCTCTAACAAATGATTCATTAGAGCATAATCCTCCTTTATCATCTGTAGACAAATACCTCATTTGTGTACTCTGTTTTGCCCTCTACTGCACTCAGTGGGAAAACTGAGTATTCTAGATGGAGCTTAAAATATTTCTTTGCAATTTCATTTAGAGAGATTATTTGTTCTAAAGCCAAGCTGGCTGGACAGATTTTACAGGATCACGTTAGCCACCGGACTGTAAATGTAAGGTATTTTTTAATGGTAATTTTAAAACAACAATTGGACAAAGGTGCTTTGTGGCTGGCAGGCTTTTGCAAACTCAGCCAATAATAAACTCAGTCCATAATTGACTTCTGCAGTAACACGAGCAATGGATTAAATTTATCATCATATTTCCATGTAGACTTTGCAGCTAATTGAATCTTTTGGCTGCCAAGGTCATTTTAGACTAGATAAGGATAATTG